AGGGAGGGTGGGACTAGCAGTTGAGGGAAACTGCTAGGAGAGGGAGGGGCATACCTCATCAACAAGGGTATCTGCATGATCAATGTTTGTATACCTAACCCTGAATTGTACCCCACATTTTTATAATAAATAAATAAATTTTTAAAAAACAAAAAACAAAACAAAACAAAAATAAATAAATAAAGTGAATTTGTAAAACATACACACACACACAGGGACACAAACACACAGGCGTGCGCACGCACACACACAGGACACTGATTATTCTGAGCTATATTAAATCAAACACAGACAGATAATTTAATCACTTGCCCCAGTGTGACCTGCTACTTTCACAATTTCCTCTTTGCTTTGCTCAATAAGATAAAAACCGTCTGCATGTGTACCGGGTATTGATATTAAGAGGAATTCATTAACCAGAATATTAATTTTAGAGGAATGAGACATTAGAGAGCAGTGATACCCTATTACTATTATTAATACCACCAGGGTTACCTGGTACAATAGAGAAAAAGTTCCAAGTTCTGTCAGTTCAAGTCTGCATACTTTTCCCTTGAAAATGTATGAAAAGCTAGAAGGAGATACATACATTTCACAAAGGGAAAGCTTATATGCTCATGCCTTGATAACCCTTTGAGATGGCTTTGGAATCACATTTTACACTAAGAGGCTCTTCTTTGTTCTGCAATTTACCGTGGCATCTGAAATCATCATGGTGACTCCTGTCTGTCTAGTGGAAAACCAGAAAAAGCAACTGGTGGTGGATCTAAACACTGAGATTCGTTGCAAGACATCTTAGCTTGTAGTGGTGATGGCTATGGTAGTGCTGTATTGCAGAGAAAAATTCTACCTGATGGATTGACTTGACGAGTAAAACCATGATGAGTGTGGTCCTGAGACAGAGACCATTAGTTCAGAATCATAAAACTGCATCTGGTCACACCTGCTGTAGAGTCATCACAAAGAGAAGCCCAACTTTTCCCAATGAAGAAAATTTTCATTTTCTACTGTAACCATATTTGCATCCTGGGCTGCCTGTCCTGTCACATTCACTGTATATCACTTTCTTCTCATGCTTTGCATGCTTCTGTTTCAGTTCTACCATAAGCTCTGAAACAAAGGGATCTGGAGGTGGGCCTCTCCAAGATGAACCACACCCTGGTTCTTCTGGACACTGAAGGCCTGGGTTATGTGGAAAAGTTGAGGCTGAGTCTTGAACAAATCTTCTTTCCTCTTGATTCTCAACTTTTAAAACTTACTACCATAAATCAACACCTCCGACATATTTCTAAAAAATTCGAATATAAACTGTAAAGATGAGATGATGCTGTGTCTCCTTGATCTTTTCTTCTTGGCGAGCTTAAGTACTTTGAAATATTAAGGTGAGATCTTATTTTCATGCTGGGGAGAAGGATAGAATGTAATAAATATTTATTGAGAAGCTAAATTCCAGGGCTCTGTGTCAAGTGCTTTATCTAGGGAAGGAGACAAGGTAAAGGCCTAGAGCTTAGTTACAGAGACAACACATACATGGTGTGATCAGCACAGGGTGCTATGGGAACCCAGACATAGCCACTTAACCCAGTCATAAAGACCAGATACAGTTTTTTGGCAGGAACAACATCTAGACTGTAACCAGTGGGATCACTGGGAACTACCAGTTAACGCATATGGAGTTGATAAAGTTGGAACTACAAACTTTGGAAATAGGGTCTCAGTGAAATTATCTATTTAAATAATTTCCCTACAAGCGTCAGCTTTCAGGTCTAAGAACTTTGGAGATTAACTCCTCACTAACTTCTCTAAAAGCATAAGCTTAACTTACCTGAAATAGTTTAAATGAGATAGCTTTATTCCGTCTTTATAGTATTAAGGGCAATGCAAGATTTCTCCTAATTTTACATTATTTTGAATCTAAATCAAAGGTAACAACAGATTGAATGGGATCAATGCCCTTATCAAAATGGCCCCAGAGAGCTACCTTACCCCACAACCATGTGAGAACACTTCAAGGAATCATGTATGAACTAGAAAGTGTGCCCTCACTAGACATCCAATCGTCCATGCCTTGATCTTGTATTTCCCAGCCTTCAGAAATGTGAAAAATAATTTTATATTGTTTATAAACTGCACAGTTGATCATTTTTTAAATAGAAGCCCAAACTGAGAAAGGCACTTCGTTATGCAAGGGTATTGCTTATTTTTCTAGCCAATCACCATTGTTAAATGACGATGATGTTATTAGTTCTACCATCCTATATATCAGTAGACAAGAATTTGGTGTTAACAAAGAATAGAATACCTCCCTCTTGAGGGGATCATTCCAGATTGGGTCACTTGTATGTTTATCACCACCTCCAGAAGGTAGATTACAGTGAATTTAAAAACACACACACACACACACACACACACACACACACACACACACAGAGAGAGAGAGAGAGAGAGAGAGAGAGAGAGATACTGATGATTCTGAGCTATATCTAATCAAATACAGATAACTTAATCACTTGCCCCAGTAAAACCTGCTGCTTCCATAACTTCCTGTCTCTTTGCTTTGCTACAGGATAAAAAAGAAAATCTGCAGCTCTATTATTTTCTCCAGTATACTGGAAAACCAGTCAGCCAGTAAAACACACTAATTGTAGACAACATTTTAATCTGCTAAATCTTGTTGATGGATTACAAGTCAAGCCACAAGATACAAACACATATAGATATTGCTTTTTAAATAATGATTCAACAAATATTTAAATAAGAAATGCCAAATCTGACATGGAAAATACAAAAAATGTTAAACTGTAGGATTTTGTTTATCAAAATAAAAGCTACTTCATTTTTATGAGTATATGGGTGTATCTGTGATCATAAATAGAATAATCAAAAATTCATATTTTTGGAATCTGAGCTAGAAGTACTAATTTGGGGGATGTTATTGAGTAAAAACTTTCAGGTTTTTATCTATACAACATATTTTCTCATGAGTTCAATAATTATGCTTATATATATATAACATACATACTGTGAGTTAAATTTCTTCTTCATTAACATTTCCAGGATTAGTTAAAGTCAGAAACACTAGATTAACTGAACCATTATATTGACTGGAAAGTTAGAAACATTAGATTAATATTGGTGGAATTCAGTTGTTTCATATACAACATTTACCAGGATTCAATCGTCCCTGTACTTTTCTTTTTTCTTTTTACTTTTGAGAGAGGAGCTTCCTGATATAAAAAGTGGAAATAAAAAAGATCAGAAGAAAAAGCAGCTGATTTCTTATTATTGGTCCTATTTTAAGTGAAACTTAGTTTTATTTTCACTTTCCACATTACTTACTGGAAATCCATGTCAAGTTTTGGCTCAAAATCAGCATCAGTACTTTCACCTTTTTAAGGAAAAGTGCCTAAAATTTTGGACTTCGTAATGTGAAAATGTTTAATCAGGCAAATTTAAACAAATAAGAAGATCTAGGGGGAGACAGAAATAACTGAGGAGTTATTACCCGTTTGATACAGGTTGAAAAGAGGCCATTTAATATAACCATTATATTAAAAAGAGTCATTTAGAAGGGACTTAGAAACTTGTATTAAGCTAAGTTGAGCTAAACATAGAAGACATTTGAATTTAAAAGTGAACATTTTTACTTGTCCTCCATTTCACTGTCTTTGGATCCCATAACTGTTGCTGGTACTGAAGGGAACACAGGTATCTGCGTTCCCCCCAATAAGCAAAGACACACACAAACGACTGCACAGTTCCTGGAAAAGCCTCTGCAGGACCTAGAAAAAAAATGGGCTCTGCTGAAACTTTCTAAAACTTAGAAATGCATGTTCCCTTAGCTTCTAGATGGCAACTACTTTCTTTTATGTCTTTGAATTAATTTTAAATATTAATTTTATATATATTTAATCAAGCCTTGTGAACCAGAACTCCTGGAATAAGCAAAACAAAACAAAACAAAAAAAAAACAACCAAAAAAACTGTAACCAACTAGAAAGTATGCAGTCCCAAACTGTTCAAGGTAATTGTAACTTAGAAGAATTCAGGATTGAGGTAATCCAAGCACCTGTTGGTGACAGCAACTGTTTGCGGTCTAAACACTGATTAAGAAAGAAACTGGGTAATGGTTATAAGACACGTAGTCATTATTAATAGTGGGGAAAAAAATAGGTAGCTGTATATTTTATTATAAATACTTGATGAAAACTCTGCTTAAATGAACAGGTTTTTGGTGGATACACAGCCTGTTCCCTGATCCCGTGGTATCAGAACAAAACTCCTTACTTCTCCCAGCTTTCTGCCTCTCATATTTGATTGACCATGAGGGAAGCAGCTGATGGTTTAATCAGGCTGTAACACATTGATTTCAGATAGTTTTCCCAAATTCGGTTGACAAGCTAAGCAGCCATCCCATGATTTGAGTATCCTGGTATCTTGGTGTCCTGAGTAAACTCTTAAATATGAATTATACTTTAAATGGTCCAGTGATCCTGCAGGAGACATGTATACTTGCCACCACTGACATCCAAACACTAATATGAGAAGCTATAAACATATACTCACATATATGTCTTTTATAGCTATTGGAAAATAAAAAACTTTTAACAAAGGACGAGAACGAAAAACCCATAGGCAAGGAAAGGAAAATTAAAACCAAACAAAAACCTAAACTTCTTCTTTGACAAAATTACCTCTGAATCGACAATCACCGTCTCCACTGACGTTCAGTATTCATTGACGTTCTACACTGGGGTTCTACACTCATTTTGGAGGCAAAAGAAACTTATCCCAAGCGTGGAGAGAGACAAGTCTGGGTTTCAGGGGCCGGGTGCGGGAGGGACCAGCATTTTTCTTTGCTTTTGTCCTGACTTCTCGGGTTTCAGGTCTTAAACAGGGAAAACCCCAACAGTGAACCTCCCCCAACAGAGCAGGTCCTTTCGCTTTCGGTTCCCTTCACCCAGGCTCTTCACTGAGTGTTGGCAATATCCAGTGTGCCTTTAGCCTCTGAGAAGACCAGTCGGCTTCCCAGGAGCCAGACTCAGGAGGAGAGCCGCTGAACTCGTCCCCTGGCGGCAGCGCCCCGAGGTGAGTTCGCTCCCGAGCTTCACCTTTTCCTGCCTTTGTGGGTTCAAGAACCCACGCGATTTCCAAGCACAGATTCCATACGGGGGGAGGGGTGGAAGACTCCCGCCTGGCACGTGTAGACTCCACGCCGGCGGGGGATGGAGACCTCGCGGGGGGCGGATGCCGTGGGAACCCCTGAGCACTTTGCTCCCGGAGGCTCGGACTCCGTGCGGTCCAGAGGCGGCCGCGAGGCGACCGCGACCGCGCAGCCCCGTGTCCCCAGAGGGCACTGCTCCTCCTCGGGCATTTTCCCAGGGCTGCAGTCAGAGCCCCGCGCGGGACACGGAGGAGAGGATCCCACCCTGGTCTGCGGAAGGGGCGCCGAAGAAGCCCCCTCTCCTGTCCCAGGCGGAGGGACCCACGTCCGGCCTCTCCCAGAGGGTCTGCGGTGGGGTCTCCTCCTCCCGCCTCCTTTCCCCGACGTTTCCTGGCTGCCCCCTGCGGGACATCGGAGAAACAGCAAAGGTCCTTGCTACAAACAGTTTAAAACCTTAAAAGTTTGCCTCTGGATGACTCTGTTTCAATTATCTATTGTTTTTTTTAAAGATTTTTTAATTTTTATTTTAGATTCGGGGAGTACACATTTGTATTCGTTATATGGACATATTTGTAGTGGTGGGGTTTGGGTCTCAGGTGGCCCATTCCCCAGATAGTGAACATTGTGTCCCATGGGTAGGTGCTGAACCCTAACCCTCCTCATACTCCCCGCCTTATGGTTGTCCCCAGTGTCTATCATTTCTATCTTTGTGACTGTTTAGCTCCTACATATGAGTGAGAACCTCCGTGTTTAGTTTTCTGTTTCTAAGTCAGTTTTTTTAGGATGGTGATCTCCAGCTCCATCCCTGTTGCTGCAAAAGGTATATTTTGTTCTTTTTTATGGCTGCAAGGTATTCCATGGTGTATATGTGATTGCTTTTGTATTAGACACATTTAACATTCCAATGATACCACGGAGTGGCACTACACAGGATTTCAGTCTCACTCTCGCTAACCATCTGTACGGTCTAATCATATTTGATTTTCATGCTCTGTTTTCAGTGAGTAATCCATGCAGGAACTGCATCAGAATAATACGTGGCACTGTGGTTGAAACACAGGGTTTTGAGGCATTTTAACCATCACTTCAGATTACTTCATGGACAGTAACTTTTGAACATCTTTTATTGTCTACTATCATCAAATGGAGATGTCTTTGTTCTATGTGTATTTTGCCTCTAAAAGCTTCTTGGTTTGGATACCTTAGTATGCTTTGCATTGCACAAACAAACAAAACTTTGTAAACTCATCTATTCCTATTCAAAGCTTTAAAAATATTCAGTCTAAGAAAAATACTATCCTCCCTGCTTAGTACACAGCAGTGAAAAACTCGTTTTATTTCCCAAATCCTGCTTTCAAACACCTACAGACAAAGGAGAGAAAGGCTGTTGAGAAACGAATTGATGATTTTGCTGAAAAGGCCATTTTAGAATTTTTTTATTTGTTGGTGATGTAATTTGCATTTCACAGAATATATTGGCACGTTAGCACACTGCCTGACTTGCTCACTGTAGAAACAGTAAATGAATTTTGGAAATTAAATTATTTGACAGTCTATTTTAAAATCACCATTATAGCAATGAATCAGACAGTCAGTATTGCTTACCCATAACATTGATTAAAAACAGGTTGGGAAGCCGGGCTCGGTGGCTCAGCCTGCAATCTGCGCTTTGGGAGGTTGAGATGAGTGGATTGCCTGAGCCCCCGGGTTCGAGACCCACCTGGGCAACTTGGCGAGACCTCATCTCTACAATAAACCAAAAAAATTAGCCCAGCGTGGTAGCGTGCACCTGTCGTTCCAGCTACTTGGAAGGCTGAGGCGGAAGGATCTCCGGAGCCCAGCAGGTCGAGGCTGCGGTGGCTGGGGGTGGCCACTGCACTCCAGTCTGGGCGACAGAGTGAGACTCCAACTCAAAAAAAAAAAAACAGGTTAGGTTTACAGAGGCAAATTCCATTTTCAAAGCCTCACACTCAAGAAGTGGTTTGAACCCTAGTTTGAGAGACATCACAGCACAAATACTGCAGGCAGTGTGCCAGCGTTCAAACTAGGGTTCAAACCACTTCTTGAGTGTGAGACTTTGAAAATGAAATTTGCCTCTGTAAACCAAACCTCTTGCTCTCTTCTGACTCATCCTGTGTTGGCGCCCTCTGGTCAGTCCTTCCCACCGAATCACCTCTTGCCTGTTCATTCTCGTGGTGAAATATGCTCTGTGCTTGCTCTTACACTCAGGAGAGCAGTGACACTGTTTCTGTCCAAAGGCAATCCTCCACTTCATTTAGAAACTACCCTCATGGACATCTTAGACACTCAATTTAAAAAAAATGCTTAAGTAGGATCTACTATGTCCTAGACAAGATTTTAAGAGCATCTGAATGATCTGTTTACTCCCTTAACTGACCCATAAACTTTAGTATTAGTATTTTCATTTTACAAAAGATGTAACTGAAGCATGTATAAATTGATCATCTTTCTAGTGGTCACACAGCTAGTAAAGTAAGGAAATACATGAGTGTTGCTTAGCTTTGTCTTTGAGAAGATAAAGAATCAATCAGTACTCTTTGCTTTCTGTCTCTTGATTTCATGAAGTGTTCCACTCATTATGATGAAAACACTTAAAAAGTAGAGCCTTGCTGGGCTGTGGGATTCTGTCAGATCCAGGCAGAGGCTAAAACAACCTGATTGCTGGATCTCTTCCCTGTTAACCCTTAAATAATAAATATATATTTTTCCAGTTAAATAAATTAATTCTTGGACTCATTTATTTGTCTATTTACTATAAACATCTGTTCTGTGTTTTAAGAGAGAACTACATTCTTTATCTCTTCTTCCTTCTATGGTTATTTCCCTCTGCAACCGGCTCCTACTGTTACCAACACACTGAATCTGCCCTCATCAAGGTCAATTAATGATCAGTTTCATTTTGTTTCTTTCTCAGGAAGGCCTCTGCTAACTACTCTTTATGCACATTCAATTCCCAGCACTCCCTGTTCCCATTTCCTGCTTACTTTCTCTTAAGATATACCATCATTTAGTGTACAGACGTATTTTTCTAGCTTATTTGCTTTATATATTTTCTGTTTCCCCACTAGCATAAAACTCCAAGAAGCAGGAGTTTGTATTGATTTTGTTCCTTGCTTTACACTGAGCACCTGAAATGGTGTTTAGCATGTGGTAGGTATTCAACAATATTTGTTAAATTAAAGAGAGGACAAACTCTGAACTGCCTAGAAACTTGTCTGACCCCTCTTAATGTCCTCCGTGTTGCCTTCTGCCTTACTTATCCCAACATATTAGTGTTCTTGGGGTTCTGTCATCAGTGCTATGCTTTTCTCATTCTATCCATTTGATAATCACAATGGCAAGACTCTTTTAGGGTTCTTGTAAGAATCATAAGATAACGTACATAAGTTATATGTACTAGTCCTTGGCATGCTAGACAAAATATTCTTCATTAAAAAACATCCCAAATGTCGGAAGTTTATAGACCCTTTCAGCAAGCCGGAAGCTGACAAGAATGTGCCGTGGGCAACTCTTAGGATGACTTCAGCCTCTTGCATTCTACCAAGTGGCTTTTCTGTGTTGCAGATTACCATGGCCTCTGAGTCCATCATGAAGGCTCCCATTTGTCTGGTGGAAAACCAGAATGAGCAGCTGATGGTGAATCAGGAAGCAATACAGATTCTTGAAAAGATTTCTCAACCTGTGGTGGTGGTGGCCATTGTAGGGATGTATCGCACAGGAAAATCCTATCTCATGAATCGTCTTGCAGGACAGAACCATGGTGAGTGTGGTCCTGGGTGGGAGCCATTTGCTCAGAACTAGTGATAATGCAGGCAGATGACACCATCTCTAGATTCATCATAAAGAAGAGCATGACTGCTCCCACGAAGAAAACTTCTAATTCTCACTACCCAATTTACAACCCCAACCCTCTATGTCCCCCAAATCTCACTCTTTTGTCTAGTAGTAAAGAGTTATTCTAACCCTATTTTTCCATGGGTTCCATGGGTCTTTTCTATCTCATCTACTTTCTCCTTCTTGGAAGCTCAGTTCCAGCAATTAATTATTCATTTTTTTTTCTTGTACATCACTTTTGCACAAAGTACCTGGTCATTTCAAATAGCACCCAAATATGGTTTAGTATATCCATAAATAAATGTGAAGAAGTACAGGCAGTAGGATTCCTGAACATCCCATATTTAAATGGGGCTACCAGCTGGGAGCAGTAGTTCATGCCTATAACCCTAGCACCTTGGGATGCCTACGTGAGAGGATTGCCTGAGCCCATGAATTCGAGACCAGCCTGGGCAACTTGGTAAGTCCTCATCTCTACAATAAAATCAAAAAATTAGCCTGGTGTGGAGGTGCGTGCCTATAGTGCCAGCTACTTGGAAGGTTGCGGCCGAAGGATCACTTGAGCTGAGCAGGTCGAGGCTGCAGTGGCTGTAAGCATGCCACTGCACTCCAGCCTGAGCAACAGAGTGAGACTTCAACTCAAAGAAATAAATAAATAGGGCTACCATCCAATTTTTTTACTCCATTTTATAGCAAAACTTTGGTAATATATGCTCCCTTTTTTCCCCTTATTTAGTCTTTCCAACATATGAACTATGACCTGTAAAAAAATAAACAGAACACACATGTAAAGTTGTTGACTATAAATTGAACACCTATTTAATCACTATGCAGATCATGAAATAAAACACTACCAACCCTAAAAATCTAAAAATCATATCATCTTATACCCTCAATAGAGCTCAGCAATATTTTGGTTTTTTTAGGGTGCATTTCTCCTGCTCTTGATTTTTTAAAACTGGTTCTACAAAATATGTATGCATTCCAAAAAATAGCTTTGTTTGGTCCGTTTTTAACTTTATTTATATATTCTTAGATATCTTGCTGCATTTGCTCATTAGTATATAAGATTTTTCTATCTGTTATTTGTACCCATAATTCATTTATTTTTACTAAAAATAGTATGTCATTGTCTGATGACTGTTGTTGATGCACATTGATATTATTTTCAGTTTTTGTTTTTAATTAATGAGACTGTCATGAATACTCTTATATTTGTATCCTAGTGCAAATGTACAAAATCTTCCCTTGCATAACATGCTCAGAAGTGGAATTTTTTAATCAGACTGTTAGTAAAATTTCTAGATAAAATCAAATCGTTTTTAAAAATTCACATGCAATTTGCGTGCTCATTAGCAGTAATTGAGAATTCTTTACATCCTATAAAATTTTGATAACAAAGAAGCTTTAATTTTTTGCTGATCTGTCAACTGCATAGCTGCATGTTATTTATCTCAGTATAAATAAATTTGAGTGCATGTTCACATATGCATTTGCTATTTACATTTCTTATTCTGTGAAGTCTTTTTTTTTGTTGTTAGTTTTTTTTTTTTTTTTTGAGCTGAAGTCTCACTCTGTCACCCAGACTGGAGTGCAGTGGCATGCTCACGACCACTGCTGCCTCAGCCTGCTGGGCTCAGGTGATTCTTCGGCCTCAGTCTTCCAAATAACTGGAACTCCAGGCACGTGCCACCATGCCCAGCTAATTTTTTGATTTATTGTAGAGAAGAGGTCTCACCAAGTTCCCCGTGGGTTCAGGCAATCCTCTCACTTCAGCCTCCCAAAGTGCTGGGATTATAGGCATGAGCCACCGTACCCAGCCTTCTTCATCAATTTTTAAGAAGCTCAGCCTATGACCCTGTTTGGTGTTCCTGTCTTTAAAGATTATGCAGTCATTTTTTTTTCCTCTAAGGTCTTACTTCCTCTCTGAGTCAGTAGCTCAGCACTTTTAGGGTTTGAGTCTCAGTACACTAAACAAGTTTAAGAAAGAAAACAAGATTAAGAACGTCTTTAATATACTCATATATGTACAGATTAAGCCAGTTCTCTTTGCTGATATGGAAGGAACCCTTTCCCCCATCCCAGGCATTTATATTTCTACATGTTTAACAAATGCAACCCTCAGGCATTCTGGTCTACCTACTGTTAACCTTTGTTACATCTCCTCTTCCCTCGCAGGCTTTTCTCTGGGTGCCACAGTGAGGTCTGAAACCAAAGGCATCTGGATGTGGTGTGTGCCCCACCCCACCAAACCAAAACACACCCTGGTCCTTCTAGACACTGAGGGTCTAGGCGATGTGGAAAAGGTGAGAGAGAGAATCTTCACTCCTCCTGGTTGTCCTCGTATCTTTTAATTTGCAAGCACAACTCAACTTCTGTATATATTCCTGGACACTGCAAATCCAATGATGAATCATGAAGCTAAATTCTATTTCTTCAAATTTCTTTAGCAAGCTAAAATACTATTGTATATTTATTAATTATATTTCTATTTGAAATTTATATTGAAGAGATAAATTTCTTTTCTCTTTCCTTGGGACTACAGATATACCAGTAAATAAAGTAAAGTAAATACAGGTAAACCAGCAAATAAAGTTGTGAAGACAAGAAATATAGGGTATGATCAGGACAGGGAAATACAGATGCAAAAAGTAGAAAATTAATTCAGTCACATGAGTTAGGGAAACCTTCCTGGAGAAAGCTTTCTAGAGTAGCCTATGTGATCAACGGGCTGTACTACTTAAGAGGTGTAGAGTTGATAGGGTTAGAGATAGAACCCATGAAAAAATAAGATATCAGTGCAAGAAGCTATTTCAGTGATCTTCAGAAAAGCTTCAGTTTTCTCATGAAATTATTGGTCCAACTCTCTGAGCTTTGGAGATGAATTCTCCTGTGAGTTCTTTAAAAACATGAGCTAGATTCACTAGAACTATCATTAATGGGATAATTCTAAATATTTTTGTTTTATGGTATTAGGTGCAATGAATCTTTTCTCCTTGTTTATATTAGTTTGAGTCTGAACTGAAAATAATAGCAGTAGATTTTTGAGTTTCTTTGCTAAAAAAATAATGAGGGTGGGGGAGTGAAGCACAGACTTAAATTTTTGAATTTAAGATTTCAGGTTTAAAGTTCTTAGTTGTTCTTTCAGTATAACATCAATATGAAATACTGATTTTACCAGACTATAGTTTTCATAAACCTTCTTTTTATCTAGCTGTATTTGTCAAGAGACCAAAACATATCAAAATATAAACTGAGGGAAGCAGAACCACTAGCTGACCTTAGAACTTGTAGTGTGATTTAAGTTCTATCTAAAAAAAAAAAATTTTAAGCCTTTTATGTCGTGCCATGAATCTTGTTTCAAACCTCTTCATTCACTCTGGCATATACACCCACTGCTTCAAATAAAATAACTTTGTAATACCTTTAAACGACCATGCTGTAAAAATTTTGATGGGCTGCTGACACTGCCATCCTCTTAATTCTTTCATCTCCACAAGTCCACATTCTATCAACTCTTTAAAGCTCAGCTATTTTCATTCTGCTGCTATCATCCTAGTGAATCAAGGTCACTTCTTGGCTCTGAATTCACGTTAATGGACTTACTCCTCCTTCCCTCGTAACTTACTTTTAAAAAAATAATTTGTACCTTTGAGGTTTCCTTACAGCAGAGACTATTATTCTGGTTGCCTTTATATGTTGATGTGTTTATCTGCTGCTACAGAAAGTCATCTTCTTGAGGGGAGGGTCTGTCATATGAAACTTTGTATCCACCAAACCAATTGCAAGGTCGAGCATTTTGTCAGATGCACAATAAATAGTTGTTGAACTTAACGGAATAGCATTTGTCCTTAACATAGCCATGATTGAGAAAAAAATTGCAATGGAATAATTGTACACTGATTACTTGTCACCTACTGTGTTTTAGATTTTATTCAATATTTTACACACATTGACAATGCTATTTATTTCTATTAATAGCTAAATGAACTGATGCCTTGAGAGAAATCAGTGGAAATTTCCAAAACGAGGCTTGAATTCAGCATTCGCTTTAAAATGTATGCTATTTACCCTACTAGTCAGCTGCAGTCCAGTTGAAACAGTGAATGAACAGCCAAATGAATGAATAAATAAAGAGTAGATTCCTACAGTTTTTCTTTTTTTTAGCTTTTAATTTTTTTTATTTTAAAGATGTGTGGTACAATTCAGGGTTAGGTATACAAATGTTCTTTATGCAGGTACACTAATTGATTAGGTGGCCACCCCCCGGAAGATTCCCACTACTGCCAATCCCGCCTTCACACCCCCACAGTTTCCTGCTACTGTCAATTCTTTTCTTAAAGTGTTATGATAATTGTTCAAGGTCCGCTTATGAGTAAGAACATGTGATACTCGGTTCTTTGTTTCTGTGATAGATTGCTCAGTGTTATAGACTCTAAGATCATCTATGTTGCCGTGAAGTTCATGACTTTGTCTTTCTTTATGGCTGCATAGTATTCCATCTTGTGCATGTACCACATTTTTTTAATCCAGTCCTCTTTGGATGGGCAGCACGGTTGGTTCCATGTTCTTGATATTGTGAACAATGCTGCAGTAAACATACTTGTGCAGGTATCTTTTTCGCAGAGTGATTTGAGTTCCTCTGGGTATATTCCCAGTAGGGTGATGGTGGGGTTATATGGAGGTTGACTTTTAGATCTATTAAGAATCGCCACACTGTTTTCCACAGAGTTTTTCTAACATGCTTTTTAGGGTGACCCTAAGAATGACTCCTGGATCTTCGCCCTGGCTGTGCTTCTGAGCAGCACCTTTGTCTACAACAGCATGAGCACCATCAACCACCAGGCCCTGGAACAGTTGCAGTATCCTTCCAGGAAGTAAAGGGCCGTGTTTTACTGAGTTTAAGGGAATGGATCCTGATTCTGTTTCTTTTTTGCTGTGACTCAGTTGTACTGGTTGAGTAAGATTGGACACAGGCAGAAGGGGAATACTTTAAAAACTAATTTCTAGGCCGGGTGCGGTGGCTCAAGTCTTTAATCTCAGCACTTTAGGAGGCCGAGGTGAGAGGATTGTCTGAGCTCAGGGATTCGAGACCAGTCTGGGAAACTTGGTGAGACCTCATCTCTACAATAAATCAATAAATAAGCCGGGCATGGTAGCATGTGCCTGTAGTTTCAGCTATGTGAAAGGCTGAGGTGGAAGGAGAGCCTGAGTTCAGGAGGTCATGGCTGCAGTGGCCATGAGTGTGCCACTGCACCCCAGCCTAGGCGACAGAATGAAGCTCCAACTCAAAATAAATAAATAAATAAAAATAAAAACTAGTTTCTAAGTGAGTCCTGGAAATTGTGGTATATGGTGCTTCTCCTTCCTTAACTAAGATCCCAGCTATGTGACTGAACTAACAGAGCTAATTAGGGCAAAATCTAGTCCCAGCCCAGATGACATAGAAGACTCCACTGAATTTGTCAGTTTCTTTCCAGACTTTATTTGGACTGTCCGGGATTTCACGCTGGAGTTGAAATTAGGTGATCAAGTAATCACAGAAGATGAGTACTTGGAGAGTGCCTTGAAGCTGAATCCAGGTATCAGAGCGTGGCCTGGGCATTCATAGTTTCAGTAGGTGGTGGGATCAATGAAGCTGATTTATATTAGCACCTGATATAAATGTTTATATGAGACTGGATTCGGAACCATGGTAGCAGTGGTTGTTGACTGACATGTGTCCGTGATTTTAGTGGTTATTATAATATGAAAATTTCCAGTGGTTGGGGTTTAAATCCATTGAGGAAATTTTAATACTCAATGTTCTTTCAAATGATGTTAGACTAATCAGTACCATGAAAAAAAACTGAGGATCACAATTATTATTACCACTTCCTGAGACTCATGTTTTATTCTTCTTTATTCAATATAAATGCTCTTCCTATTTCATTAAAGGAAATTAACTAATCAGTTTGGAAGTTGGTAAAAACAGAATCACAAAAAGTCAAATCTTCTCATTTTGAAAATATAATCAATATATTTAACCTGCCTAGATAGTTACTTTCTTCAGAGAACTACAGATTTATACACTAGATGATTCAAGAAAAAATTATATTGATATGTGCTTCCAATAAAACCTTTCATTTTAACTTTTTCTTAACACCTTCCTTATTCTACAACCTTATACAACATGTTGTCAATGTATGATTAGTTTATAATAAATTTGGATTATATTTAACAGAGTAGATAACTGATTGCACCTAGAATCAATATCTTTTTTTGTCATACACTTTGTCATCCTTTTCACAAACATTTATTTTGAAAAGCTAGTATATGCCATATTATCCCTCTGCAAGACAATGTCAACTCCAATATTATGAGACATGGAAAAGTGATGAAGTTTTCAAATTATACTTAGATTAGCTTTACTCTGTATTTTTTTTGCTAAAGGAATCTCTAAACATTTTCATGGTATTTATAATTTCTGCCCCTGATTTTGAAATAGTTTTCATTACCAACTTGGGGGTCATCTGTCATCCTCGTGAGTTTGCTCCCAGCAGCATCTGGTTCTTATTTCTTGCATTACATTACTTTAGAGCCTAAGTTTCTGATGTGGGACTATAATATCAGCAATGTATTTCTGACACCTTCTTTGATTAATTAATCATTCAAAAACATAATAGTCAATCTCATACCCACCACACAAGGCGAAAGAAGACAATCATAAGTTTCTTCCCTTAAGATGGTTGCCTCCCCTTTTTCTCTAGAAGTGCTTTTCCTCACCCTTGCCTCTGAACAAAAATGTATTTTTCAGCCCTTGATTAGATCAACACAAGTCTGCTTTGTATGATTGAATAAAAGAAGATGCACAAGGTAGAGGCACTATATTGATGTAAAGGTCCCTGGAAATGTCCTTCAGTGATCACTCTTTTTACATTTCACAGGCAAGAATCCCAATATCCAAAAGTCCAACATGCCTAGAGAGTGTATCAGGCATTTCTTTCCAAAACGGAAGTGCTTTGTCTTTGACCGGCCTATAAGTGACAAAAATCTCTTACCCCATATTGAACAAGTGCCAGAAGACAAATTGGAAAAGAATTTCCAGCTGCAATCAAAACAATTCTGTTCATATGTCTTCACTAATGCAAAGACCAAGACCCTGAGAGGTGGAATCATAGTCACCGGGAAACGTGAGTCTCTTGTTTCCAAAGCATGTCTGTCGGTGGTCCAGTGTGTGTGAAGAAGTTATGATGCTTCTGTGGGTTGACAAATAATTGGAACAAATAATTTTGTTCCTTGATGTATAGAAGATTGAAGTAGCAAACATTCATGCCACATGTAGAAGTGCATATTTCTTAAAGTTTACTAATATAAAGATTTCTTGCGGCCAAATATACCTCACAAAATAAATGTGTGAATGACATAAGTAAAAACTGCTGTTAAGGAGAATTCTGAAAGATGAGAAAAAAGCCCTATATGATAAGTGTTTTCAGTGAAATTGTGTAAGATATTTTATAAATCTACATCAGTCAAAAAATAAACAACAGACCACAAGTTCCAGGCAACCTCATTGAGAAAGGTAATTGTTTCTCAGACTCTTGATGAACTTGCCTGGAGCTCATGGCCTGCTGTGTATTTTCTGATCAATGCAAATGTATGATATATCTTGTATATTTTCACTGAGCAACACTCCTTCATCCAAGCTCATTGAGAGTTTGAGAAACAAATTTAAATATCTTCTGCGGCACACAGCAAGGATAAGCTTTAAAATGTCTGTGGTCTGCCCTTTGGAAACAGGACTGGTCCACACTGTCATTACAAGCTGTCAACTGCAGGTTCTCTAGGAGACATTCCAGAATGGAGTAGCACATTGCATCTGCAGTTCTCAATGACTAAAAGTTATCAAAAACAATTAAAATATTTAAACTGTGAATCTATTAATAAAGAACATTTATAAGAACTGATCTGTAGGCCCGTGCTAATCTCTATGCTTTAGCAATATTGACTGCATTCCTATGTAAGGAACCACTAAGCAGCAGCGAGTATCCTGTGGAGTGTGCATTTGAAAGCACTATTCAGAGACACAGGTACCATGTTCCATTTCCATCAAGGTGAACCAAGTGAATTGATCTGGTTCCCAGTGAGGTCACCTGCTACATGTTTGACCAAAATATATCATGGTTTGCTTTTGTGTGTGTGTGTGGATTACTACAATGTAGAAGGTAAAATTGTCCTGTTTTATGTAAAGCTTTTCTTTTCTTTGATTTTTAATGAACTTTGAAAAAAATAAATATTTTCTGTGCAGAGCTGGCTTCATAGGAATACAATCTGTGCCTGTGATAAATCAGTACCCATGCTGAGATGGGCCCATGCTTTGCTCAGTACTTTATAATACTGTCTTCAAATTCCTGATCATATTTTTTTATAAGGGATGTGCATCTTTGTTTGCAACTAGGACTCACAAATTATGTAGTTTACTTTATCTGTCTAATAACTCATTTATGTTTTATTTATGTGAGAAAGTAGTTTTCTAGGAAGCCTTAAAACATATTGGTCACAATAAGTAATTTAATTTTGTAATTTGGTAAATTTGAGAGGCTTAAAAGAAAGAGTGAATAGGAAAACCAGTGATGCTATTATAAAAAGTTGGATTCATAGGGGAAGAAAAAGAGGAGTAGAAAACTTCAAGATAAATAGCATTTTTGTGATTCTTAGAATTCTGATCCTTAAAGCTTGTAAAAACAGTGAATAACATACATATGTGCCACTCAGGTCTGGGTACTCTGGTGGTGACCTACGTGGATGCCATCCACAGTGGAGGAGTACCTTGTCTGGAGAATGCGGTGGCAACTCTGGCCCTGCTTGAAAACTCAGCGGCTGTGCAGAAGGCAACCAACCACTACAGTCAGCAGATGGTCCAGCAACTGAGGCTCCCCACAGACACACTCCAGGAGCTGCTGAACTTGCACGCAGCCTGTGAGAAGGAAGCCGTTGAAATCTTCATGGCTCACTCCTTCAAGGATGACAAGCGGGAGTTCCACAAAGAGCTTGTGGTAATTTTGGCATTTATCCTTCCTGATTCCTGCCCTTCTGAGGTGATGCCTGAAGTCTTTTTTGACCCATGGTTAGTCTCCTTACCTGGATTTTAGTAACCTGGATTTTAGTAACCTGGATTTTAGTGGCTCTATGGGCTAGAGATTATGGTTTCTCTAAAAGATGGTCCCTTTTTTTTCTATTGTGCACAACAAATTACTATTAGTTTAGCAGCCTAAAACAACATTTAGGTCAATTTCTTTAGGTCAGAAGTCTTTATCAGAGTGTCACAGTACTCCACTCATTGTACCATAGATTGAAAATATGGTATCAAATGAATTTAGCTTTCGTATGGAAGAAACACCCCCCATATTCCAGTCAGCAACAATGTAGCAAATCCTGCTGCTTCTAATCTCTTTTGTTTTCTCTAACGACACTAGCTAGAAAAAAAACTGGTTTGGGGCTTATGTAATTAGACCATGCCCAACAGGGTACACTCCATTTATTATTAAAGTCAACCTGTGCTGTGTAACATAATTTAATCACAGGATTAGTATCCATCATATGCACAGGCCCAGGAATATGCAGAATGTGAACAGTAAGGGGTTAGAAATCTTATGGGATATCTTAAGTGTGCTGACTCTCAGTAGGTTTACTGAGAGTTTATCTTTCAGTCTGCCTGAGACTTACCTAAAAGTGAGAAAATTTTCTTAATTCATGTTGAAGAAATCCAGCTGAATTATAATTTACAAGTATAAACAAAACAAAATTCTGTTCCTATATCTTCACATATTCAAACCCTCATTGAAAAAATGTGCAAATTGTTCATATCGCTCTTCATAGTACGTTTATTACTGGGGAGTTGTTTTGTCACACATATATTTTTGTCCATAGCAGCCTACATTTTCTGAGGAAATTTTACTTTTAGCCAGGATTCTACTTACTATTGCTTATAGTTGGAAATCAGAGACCTGTTAATGATACTACAGATCAAAAAACAAACAAACAAAAAAACGGTGGAGTTTATGTCATCCAATCTCATAATTTTACAGATATTGAGCCTGACCCCGGAGAGTTAAAGGACTTTCTGCAGGTCACACAGAGATTTGATCAGAACTAGGTCTGACTCCTGGGATATCTCACATCTCAGTCCATTTTGAGGGCAACAGATTTCCTCTTCCAAGAGGATCACAGTAGGACCTTCCCTTCTAACAGCTTCTCTCTGTTGTGTCTCCTTCCATTTTCCTGGTAGACAACCATAGAACAAAAGAAAGAAGACTTTGTGCTGCAGAATGAAGAGGCATCTGTCAAATATTGCCAAGCTGAGCTTGAGCGGCTTTCAAAGCCTCTGTTGGAAAGCATTTCGAAGGGAACTTTCTCTAACCCTGGAGGACACAGTCTCTACTTAGAAGCAAAGAAAAAGGTTGAAGAGGACTATAACCTAGTGCCCAGAAAAGGAGTTAAGGTGAGGAATAAGGGGAAGGGGAAATGCTTACTAGAGTATGGTCAGAGGGTATTTATTGCCATTTTTGAACATGTAAGACCACGGCACCATTTGTGGAGAGAAAGCAGAACATGACACTATGCCGACATTTTTAGTTTTTACAATTAGTTAGACACTGTTATAGTCACTACAAGTATATCCTTCCAAAGAGGATTTAAATGAGGAACCCAGATGAAACTAATTCATTTTATTTATCAAGCAGTGGGATAGTTTTTGTGCTAACTATAGAGTATATATTACGAAACATACAACTTTGCTTTCAGAAGTCTATGATCTTCCCTGAGATGGACGAATTAATAGTCCATTGGATATAGTGTGATTATAGTTATCATACCAGTATGGACTGATAGTGATAATAATGATTATGGTAAGCACCTAGCTAAAACACATTGAGAATTCACTTCCTATACCAGGTATAACATTAAATAAGCTTGCTGAATTATGAGTTTTGTCTTCTACATTATACAGTTGAGAAAAGTAATTACAGGAGAATAGTAAATTGCCTAAAGATGACATAGCCAGTAAATGGTGGAGCTAACAGGACTCATTTATATACTTGGCTGCCATTGGAAGCTCAGATATTGTCCTTTTGAGAAAACTTTGTCCTGTGTTTCATGATGACTGTACCAATTCACATTCCTACCAGTTTCCAAAGATTCCCTTTTCTACATGTCCTGCTAACTCATGCTGTCTTTGGACCCTGTGATAATGATAATGGCCATTCTCATAGGTATGAGATAATGTCTCATTATGTTTCTTTTATTTCTCTGATGAATAGTGATATTGAACAACTTTCACATACTTGTCAGTCACTAATTTTTTTGAGAAATGTCTATTTAGGTACTTTGGTTTTTTGTTTGTTTTTCTATTGTTATATGATTTCCTTATATATTTTAGATATTACCTCCATATCAGATATATGGTTTGCAAGTATTTTCTGCCATTCTGTATATTGTCTTTTTATTTTGTTGATCATTTTCTGTGCTGTGCTGAAAATTTTAGTTTGATGTAGTTCAACTAAGTTTTGTACTTTTTGCCTGTGCTTTTAGTGTCTGATCTAAAAACTCAGTGCCAAGGTCAATGTCAAGGTTTTACAGTTTCTAGTCCTTCAGTTAAGTCTTTAATCCATTCGTAGTTTATTTTGTGTATGGTGTAAAATAAGGTCTAATTTTATTGTTTCGGATCTCCAGTTTTCTCACTGCTATTTATTGAAGAGGCTATCTTTTTCTTATTATGTGTTCTGGTCACGTTTGCTGAAATTATTTGACTCTATATGTGTGGGTTTACATCCTGGCTGTCTGTTCTGTTGTATTGGTCTATATGTTTATTTTTATTCCATATTTTAGTAATTGACTACTATAACTTTGTAGCAGCTTTTGAAATCAGGTATTGTGTTGCCTCTGGCTTTTTTTGTTGTTGGTGCTCAGGATTGCTATTGTTATTGATGTTGTTCATGGTTCCATATGAATTTCAGAAATTGCTTTCTTATTTACGTGAAAAATATCATTGGAATTTTAGAAGGAATTATATTAAATCTGTAGATGACTTTGGATAGTATGGGCATTTTAGCAATAATAATTATTCCAGTCAATGCACATGGAATATTTCTCTATTTTTATGTCCTCCTTAATTTATTTCATCAATGTTTTATAGCTTTACGTGTACAGATCTTCCATTTCCTTAGTTAAATTTATTCATTAGTGATATTCTTTTTGATGTTATTGTAAATGTAATTGCTCTCTTAATTATTTCAGATTTTTTTTAGTATATAGAAGTGTGACCAATTTTGTATGCTGATTTTATATCCTGCAACGTTACTGAATTTATTTATTATTTTTAACAACTGCTGGTACATTCTTAGTAATGTTTCTCATGTCATTCCAGAATTACTCATAATGGCCAAGATATGGAAACAACTTAAATATCCATCCACAGATGAATATGTGAAAAATTATTCAACTTTAGAAGGAAGGAAATCCTGCCACTTGTGGCAACATGACAGGATATCATGCCTAGTAAAATAAGCCAGATTCTGAAAGATAAATACTGCATGACTCACTTTTGTAGGAATACAAAAAACCCTGAACTCATATTAAGTGAAAGTAGAATGGTAGATACCAGGGGCATGGGGTGGGGCAAGCAGGGAAATATTGAAAAGAAATCACACGGGGTTACAATATAAGTAAGGTCTGAACACAAAACATGCAACCTGATGACTGTGATTAAAATAATGCATCGTTCACTTGGAATTTACTAAGACAGCAAATCTCAAGTACTCTCACTACACACACACACACACACACACACACACACACACACACACACACACACAAGATAACTATATGAGGTGATGGATTTGTTAATTAAGCTTGGTTAGCATCAGCTAATCATTTCACAGTAAATATGTATGTCAAAACATTGTGCTGTATACCCATAAAAACATACACTTCTCATTTGTAAATCATACCTCAATAAAGCCAGGAATAAAACCCAGAAGGCAGCCAAGAAAAGAACCTGCCAGAGAGGTAGTAATGGCTCATTGAAGTATTGATAGATGTCATCCAAGTCAAGAAAAGGTAGCACAGCATCTAGGCAGGAGAAAGAAAATCTCAATACTGTAAACAGCGGAGGCTGTGTGTCTAGAGAACCTCACATAATCTGTTGTTTACACCCTGGGGAGTGGGTGGGAGGCATTCCTGGGAAAGGAGGCTTAGCAGCTAAAAAGAAGACTGCTGCTCAGGGCTTTCATGTTTCACCAAAGAGCTTCTACTTTTTTTTCTTGGGTCCATGGAAGGAAAGAAACCACTGTGGGATCCTAGGCAAAATACAAAGTTTATAGTGTCAAATTTGAGGTTTTATTGAATAATAATTTTCAAATCAGAAGACTAGATCTTTGCTGCCAGACAGATCTTTCCTTCTTGTTTCCACAGGCAAACGAGGTTCTCCAGAGCTTCCTGAAGTCACAGAGAGTTATGGAGGAATCCATCCTGCAGGCAGACAAAGCCCTCACTGCTGGAGAAAAGGCCATAGCAGGTGCGTATAGCAGGGGTAGGGCTCCGCTCTCAAGGAGTGGATGGGATCCTGCAATGCCCTCTTGCTCATAGAACAGAAAGAGTCTCCTGATACAAGAGCTTCCTCCTACTGTGAACACAAGCTCTACTAAATCCGAAAATATCAAGAGGAGATGGGCTGCACGACCAGCCAGTCAGCGTCTTTCCATCACATTCTGATACATGTTCTTGTTGACATGGCTAGTGGGAATTCGGAGATTCCCAATTTTTCAACTTCTTCCTTTTCCAAAGTCAGCTCAGGAGGGGATAACTCAGGCCTGACTGCTATTTCATTTCCTCTCTCAAACCTTTGTGAAACAGCGGAGCGAGCCCAGAAAGAAGCAGCTGAGAAGGAACAGGAGCTGCTAAGACAGAAACAGAAGGAGCAGCAGCAACTGATGGAGGCTCAAGAGAGAAGTTTCCGGGAAAACATCGCCCAGCTGAAGGAGAAAATGGAGAGGGAAAGAGAAGAACTTGTGAGGGAGCAGGAAAAGATGCTGGAGCACAAGCTGAAGGTAAGTCTGGATGAAGCCTGGCATTGCTTGAGGGTCAGTACCCTGGTTTCTCAGAAAGAGAAGGGCCATAATGTCAATCACAGTCACAATTCAAGAAAGAGTTATACCTTTTAGGTATATGTTTCTCTAAAAGCTATATGCTTCACTAAAGTCTTAAATATATTTGAATCTTCCTGATGCCTGTACGTTTAAAAGACTTCAGCGTTTTCTGTCTTGTTAGACTTTGGAGAGTACACATGAATTCCCCAAGGTGCTAAACTGCTGTTTGTGATGATTATAGGATTGTCTCACTATGCCCCAATTTAATAAGGCCTTAGTGCACTAGTCAGGATTCTTAGTCACTAGTCAGGATTAGCATAACCATCAAAGAGGACTGCAATAGATCTACCTGCTCTAAAAGTATTATATGTTGCCTGATATGATGTGAAAGACGCTGAAAGCTCCGAGTTTACCTTATTTGTTTCCAAGTCTGCCTTATTCATCCTGTACAACCATAGTAAAATACATTTTTTGCCGACCTGAAGCTTGACAACCAGTGTTCTATGCATCATTAGAAATCTCCATTATCTGTTAGATGAGCACGACTATGCAACTTCAGTGGAACTGAGAATTAATTAGAATTAAACCTGCATTTGCTCCCAAAGGGCATTCTTTCTCTGGAACAAAACTCCTCTTCACCCCCAGTGAGACGGTTCAGAGGGACTCTCACAATGCTATAAACCATACATACTCCAAGTATTCAGGTCCAAACAGCTGAAAATATTGGAAAATTTCATCAATGTCCTAAACTGATAGAGAAATAAACATATGGGCTTAACTAATAAATTTGTTAAATACAAAACGCTGTCACTTAAATATTGATGATTTTCAAAAGTGGACTTTCCCCCCTTTTATAGGTCCAAGAAGAACTGCTTATGGAAGGATTTAAAAAGAAATCTGAGGAATTAAATAGCGAGATAGATCGACTAAAAGAAGAGGTGGCAACAGCTAAAAAACCATCATGGTTTTCAGAGATCCTTGGTGGGCTTGGCGATATGATGATTTTAGCATTACCTGGGGCTGGTAAGCTACTTGGTGTAGGGGCAAAATGTATAAGCTCTCTTACTAAATAGACTGAGTATTCCTGGTAAGTGAATTATAAAATGAGATTTCTTTTGTTTTAATAGCATAATACTATTGCTATTTTGGAATTATATGTGTGGTAGCAGTTTCACTTGAAAAAACTTGAAAATAAAAAGCGGCTATCAAAGAATGTCAGAGCCTAAATCCACAAAAACAAACTCAATTTTGATTAAATTAATGGCTTAAAAAATAGAGAACAAGTTAGAAGCAGTGAAGTTTTTCCTAGAAAAGGTTTAAACAAATCAAAAAGACAAATGGTAAGATGAAGAAACCATTGGCAATTTTTATTATAAATGCAGAAATCATATCAGTTATAATTAACTCTTACCAAACAATGAGAAGAGTAAAACTCCACTTTTTTTAAGTAGGCAAAAATGTGGTTACTTTTACTGATAATAAATTTGTGCAAGATAAAATCATGAGGTTCTTGTTTCACCTCTGTGATGGGTAAGGAAGAGTTCTTTGACAGGACACTGGGCTGGCAAAGGTTCGGGGAAATTTGTAGTGTCTCATATTGGCTAGTAAGGGTGTGAACTGTTGGAATGATGTATCAAAAATTAAACACACATACATTTGATTTAGCAAATCCACATTAGATTTTTATGTATATATTCTTTCTTCTGATTAATATCTTTTTAAGCATCTCCTGTAGAGCTGGTCTGAAAGCTGCATAATCTCTTAGGGCTTGGATGTCTGGGAAGGGTTTTAATTCTTCATTGCTGATGAAACTGAGCTTAGCTGGGTAGGAAATTCTTGGTTGAAATTTCTCATCTTTGAGAATTTTGAATATTGGACTCCTGGTCCTTCTTGTTTGTAGTGTTTCTGCCAGTAGGTCTGCTATGGTTCTGATTGGTTTTCCCCAGTATATAGTCTGACCTTTCTCTATTGCTGCTTTTAGGATTTTTTCTTTTGTGCCTACTTTGTGTAGGTGAATTAATATGTGTCTAGGGGTTGGTCTTCTCACTTGATGTCTCACTGGGATCCTCTGTATTTGGATGGTCATGTCTCTGTTAAGATGAGGAAAGTTTTCTTGGACAACCTCCTGGAATACCTTCTCCGAGGTGTTCTCCTTTTCCTTTTCTTCTTCTGGGATACCAATCAGGTATAGGTTCAGCCTCTTGATATACTCACACATTCTTGTAGGCTTTGTTCTTTCTTTCTGAGTTTTCTTTCTATATTTTTTACAAAGTGGGTTAATTCCACATTTTGGTCTTCAAGTTCTGATATTCTTTTTTTCTACCTGATTAATTTTGTTTTCCATGTGTGTGTGTCATCTTGCTATCTACTTTCTGGATGAAATTTTTTATGGTCAAAAATCTCTGTTACAAGTTCTTTCAGTGTTGCAGCAAGTTCTTTCAGTGTTGCATCTTGTCTTTCTTGAGTCTTAGTCACTCTATTCATCCATTCCCTAATCCCTGTTGTATTCTGAGGCCAGTCATTGGTGACTTCCATTGTTTGGGTTCTGAGGGCTGATTTTTCAGGTGTCTTCTCATTGTTATACTGGGAATTTTCTATGTTCTTCCACTGATATTTTTCTCATTTGTGACAGATCTCATTCTTTTCTCTTTGTTCCATTATTTAGTGACAGTGGAAGAGGCTTTTACTCCTGATGTTTGCTCAGCCCTCTATTCTTCCCTGATCAGGACTCTGAATTTGTTCTATTTTGAAACAGGGCTATGGGTGGGAAACTGCTGTCTCTTATAGTTTTAAGAGTTGAATAAGGTAGAGGATGAGAAACTAGGAATCAGAAATGACTTGCTAATCACAGAGTTCACTGATTGCAGTATTGGTTCCCTGAGACCCAGTCCCCACCACTGCTCTATATGACAATTCAATGGGTATGTGTGTGTACCCCCTGAGTCCAAGATACAGTAAGAGCAATAAGGAGAACAGAGAAAAGTATAATAAGTTGGACAAAAATTAAAAAAAAAATAAACAGGACAACAAAAGCAAAAAACAAAGTAAAAAATAAACACACACACACACACACACACACACACACACACACACCAAAACAAACTGGAATAAAAACAAAGCCAAACAAAACAAAAAGCAAAAACAGAAAAAAGAGGAAAACCAAACACACACATGCCCAACCCAAAATGAAAGGAGAAGAAAACCAGGAAAAAAAAGAATGAAAGTTGAACCCTTACACATATATTCACACACCTAAAAACTAAAAAAAGAACAAAAAATGAACAATAAAAAAACTGAAAGATGAACACTTAATCCTTCACATATACACAAAAAATAAAACAAAAGAAGAAAGAAAGAAAAAGAGGGGTGGGGGGATGCAGATGGAACCCTCACATACACATTCATGCACAAAGGAAAAATAAAAATAGATCAATGGAATAGAATTGAGATTCCAGAAGCAAAACCTCAATTTCTCAACCAGCTCATCTTCGACAAAGCCCCCACCACCTACCACTGGGGAGAGGAGAACATATTCAGTAAATGGTGCTGGGAAAACTGGCTGACCACATGCAGAAGGTTGAAACAGGACCCCTATCTATCCCCATGCACAAAGGTTAACTCCAAATGGATCAGAGACCTAAATGTAAAACCTCAAACCATAAGAATCTTAGAAAAGGAAGGAAAGACCCTCATGGAAATTGGAACTGGCATCCAATTCCTGAACAAAACCTGAAACCCATAGGTCATAAGAGAGAAGATAGACAAGTGGGACCTCATTAAACTGACAAGCTTCTGCAAAGCCAAAGAAATCATCAAGAGAGCAGGGAGACAGTCTACAGACTGGGAAAAGTATTTGCCAACGCCAGGTCTGACAAAGGCTTAACATCCTGGATCTACAAGGAACTCAAATGTGCTGGAAAAAAAAGCAAACAACCCCATTATAAAATGGACAAAAAATATGAACAGACACTTTACAAAAGAAGACATCCAAGCAGCCAACAAACACATGAAGAAATGTTCAACCTCACTAATCATCAGGGAGATGCAAATCAAAACCACACTGGGATACCACCTAACTCCAGTCAGAATGGCAACTATCAACAACTCAAAAAATAACAGTTGCTGGAGAGGGTGTGGTGAAAAGGGAACACTTCTACACTGTTGGTGGGAGTGTAAACTAGTGCAACCTCTGTGGAAAGCAGTGTGGCCATTCCTTAAAGCTCTAAAAACCGACCTTCCATATGACCCCACAATCCCCCTATTGGGAATATACCCTGAAGAATTCAAATCACTCTATAAAAAAGATATCTGCACACATCTGTTTATCGCAGTGTTGTTCACAATAGCAAGAACCTGGAAACAACCATGCTGCCCATCAAAAGAGGACTGGATTAAAAAAATGTGGTACATATACACGATGGAATACTACGTAGCCATAAAAAAAAAAACAAAATCATGAATTTCACAGCAACCTGGATGGAACTAGAGTCTATAATACTGAGTGACCTCTCACAGAGACAAAGGTCCGAGTATCACATGTTCTCACTCATATAATGGACCTTGAACATCCAATGTAATACTATAAGAAAATGACTGACGGTACTGGGAAACTATGGGGGGGGAGGAAGATGGGATTAACAGTAGCAAATATCTGTCTGGGGACAGGGAAACACCTCTTATCAACAGGGTGCCTGAATGAAACGTAATTGCATACCTAACCCTTAACTATACCCCACAAAACCATAATAAAAAATATTTTTAACAAAAAATTTTTAAATTAAAACTTCTGACTCATTCATAATCTCCCCAGTGTCCAGCCCAGAGAAGGAGAAGGGGACAGTGGGGGTGGTTGTGGCTTTAGTTCTCCCCTCTCACTCTAGTATGGCCAGGGGGATCCCCTCCAGTTGGGAGTTGCGGGATCGTCTCTTTCCCAGGTACTGGCAGGGAGAGCCCCAGCCAAATTTATCCTGGAGTGGAGTCTTCCTATTGTGGCTGACGTCCAGGCTCCACCTGGGTTCATCCTCCTCAGTCATACCCCAGCCATGTGGGTCTCACATTCAGAGGATTGCTGAAGAGGAAGGAACTGGGTCATCCCCAAACTCACCACTGAGCTTTTTGCAGGTCTTCCTCACCATTTTCTGGCCACACCCTTTGTCCCACGGGTGAATCAGGGCAGGGGGTGAGGCACTTGAGACTCAGCACTCATTCTATTCCTCTGGAGTTTGTGCTTTCAGGATATTCCCTCTGGGTCACGATCAACCTCTGAGTAGTTAATCCTGCCAGTCACTGAGATTGGGTTGGCTCTGTTGCTCTGTGGTGAGCAAGCTGGAGCACTTGCCTGCCCAGTTTTCAAGATGGTGGCAGGGTGCCTCTTTTGTGCCTCATTCTCCAGTGGGGCACTGTCTCTGGGTTCCTTGGCTGTGCTCCCTTCGCAGCCCTTGCTGCAAGTGTCCGGTCAGGTGCTGCCGTGGTGAGGCAGAGCCTGGAGCCAGCAGTCTCTCCAGGCAGCTTCTTTCAGAGAAGGGCTTTGTTGATTTTTTTTGAGTTAGAGTCTCACACCCTCGCCCAGGCTGGATTTCAATGGTACACTCACGGGCCACCCCTGCATTGTCCTGCTGGTTTCCTGTGATTTCCGCCTCAGCTTTCCAAGTAGCCGGAACTGCAGGTATGTGCTACCACACCCAGCTTATCTTTGATTTATTGTAGAGACAAGGTCTGGCCAAGTTGCCTGGGCTTACCTCAGCTCATGAATTTTTTTTTAAATGGCACTTGGCAGCTAGGCTCGGTGGCTCAACCTGTAATCCCAGAACTTTGGGAAGCTGAGACGAATGAGTTGTCTGAGCCTGTGGGTTCAAGACCAATCTGGGCAGCTTGGTGAGACCTCATCTCTACAATAAATAAAAAAAATTAACCAGGTTGGGTAGTGCATGCCTATAATTCCAGCTACTTGGAAGGTGGAGGCAAAAGGATCACCAGAGCCCAGGAGGTCGATGCTGGGATGGCCAGGAGTACGCTACCACACTCCAAGGAGTGAGACTCCAACTCAAAAAAAATAAAAAGGCACTTGGTTTCTGGACCCTAGGAAGCACTAGGTTCCAAGGAGAGCAGCTCGGCACCAGCTGCTTCGCAAGAAGAGTCCTGGCTACTTGCTCCTGAGTCCCCACTCAGTCAGCTACTCACACACCCACTCACCGACTTGTTTGCAAAATTTTCCATACACTCACTGACTCATACTGGGACTCGCTTAGAACAACTGGCTCCACCATCACCTTCCCGAGAATCCTCAAGACCATCCTATGTTTATATTAATTTACCCAAGTAGTAGATGACATTTGTAATAGTTGTAGGATCATTGTAAGTGCCAAAGAACTGGAACAATTTTAAAACCCCTTTGTCAGACAGTGAAGGTTCCTTAGAAAGAGAAGGGCCAAAATTTTAATCATAATTCAAGAAGGAATTATACATTTTTTGTATATGCTTCACTAAAAGGTATATGTTT